AATTAAAGTGCATTGGTTTCTCTGACATAGCACTTTTCTTATTGCTGCATGAAGGCAAACCTGTTTAAATAATTATAATGTAGGTAAAGATTTTTAGCATGTTGTATAATTGTTATTGTACAGTCATCATTTAAATATTATGGCCTTGTGTAATGTATGTCAAGAAGAACATATTATTTCTCAAAAATGCTAACCTTCTTGCACTACTTCTCTCTTGTGTCCTTACAAATTACTAGTACCTATACTAATTTTTTCCAAGTTCAAACAACTTAACAAACTTTTGAATTTTACACTATGCCTTTGAATTTTTCTTTTTGTCTTTTGGTAAAAATATCAGTGAATGACTTAAAAATCATGTTTTCTAAAATAGTATTTTGTACAAACAAACTATACATAATTGGAAAAGTCTCATGTTGAAGACAGATGTCGCTTCTTTTACTAGATTGCTATTCTTATTCTTTTAAATAATATTGTAATTCTTCATAAGACATAAAAAGTTCTTTGCCATCAATTTTTGCTTCTTCACATTCAACTTCATTGCAACCAACCCAGTGAATTTTTAATCACCTGGAATTGAAAAACGTATGGATTTTGTCAGATGATGCAATACTATAGTTAATGTTTCATGCATGTCTTAATAAGCTTTACTTGAGCAAAAATTTCAAGGTTGGAGCAAAATTTGGCACATTGAACAAAGTAGTTTTTATCTTGGTTTTGATGTACTAACCTGTTTACTATAACAAACAATTCATTTACAGAAACACCAGATGGCATTTAAAACTGTTAGCATAAAGCAAACATTTACACACCATCATCATGATTGTCCATAACCTGTCAAATTGTTCAGCTAGCTGTTTAAGATAGGTATTTTTTATTATACGACATGTACCAATTACCAAAAAGTTCATTAATTAATCCTGCACTGCATTTGATTTCAATACAGCTCTGTTCTTGACATTTGCTTCATATTTTCAGAAAAATATCATGAAAAAATCCTCCATTTCTTGGAGGTAAAGTCAGTTGAAACAAGGAGTTTTAAGACATGTGTATCTTGATAAGAATTGGTTGCTTTGCCTCGTCCAGCAACCTATTAAGTAAAGAACAAATAAGACTGGATATACATAACTTAAATCATAACTTAGGAGTAAAAACATTCACAAAATATATACCATCACACTTCAAGTATTGACTTAAAACAAAACACTGAACACTTTAAATAGTAAACAATCTTATGTTGCTTACCGGTGTCATGAAATGTTTCCTTTTTTGGCTTTACTTCAGCATCTGTATACCAAACAAGTTTGCAGCATGTTTTAAAAATAAAATTTCTAAAAGTTTTTGAGCTTGGCATTGAAATTTTATATAATCGCAATTGTGGTTGTCAAATCCTGGTGGGCGAAAAAAATTTTATTTTATGAGCCCGCGTCTTTCCGCTGACTTTGAAAACCAAAATCCGCCATGTTTTTGACTACGCGGCCACGCGCTAATAATTTATAGTAATTTGGTTGTCATTTCCCCTCCAGGTCTTATAGAACAATTGAGTTCTATAATAACTGGAGCGGCTATCTCAAACGCGAACTTTGATATCTGATGATGCCAAAAAAATGGCGGATTTCGTCCTTTGCCGCTGAGATTTACCGAAATTGACCGCTTTTCCAAAAATTTCACAATTTCCCACTCCCTCCTGAGGAAAGAGTGAGGAAAATGTATGTGTGTATTTGGGATTCGGCAAGCAATTTTTTGATGAAAATCAAGGTAAAAAGCTTAAATTCATAACAGCGAGTCAACTGTGGTTGTCAGTTATCTGCTCCTACGAGGATGCATTTATATCTATAGAAGAAAGACCTATATGTCGGCTACACATGTATGAATGCAGATGTGCGTCGTTTTCTTAGCAGCGTCGAACTTGTTTGATCGATTAAACTCTTTAGTCCATACAAAAAAGTATATCATAGTTCATCTCCACGGTTCACGAGAGAGAAGTTAGCTTATTTGTTATCATTGCTATTTTGCTTCTTTTCATGCAATGGGCAATGGCTTTTTTCGCCACAATTGTAGGATTTTTACTTGTTTCTTTAAAAAAGTACATAGTAAATCTCTGGATATTTACGGATTTTCTGTAATTGAGTTTCATATGAAATTTCAAAAAGACTCAAGTCTGCATAGGTTTGGTAAATGAAAACAAACAATATTGTATAGAAATTACTTCAAGTAACCTTTTTGTGATGTTCTGAAGTGCAACTGCATCAAATACTTGTAAAGTTGTTGCACATTTTGATTTTTTTGTATTGATATATGAATTGGGCAAAATGCAAATAATCAACAAAACACTTATGCTTCCAATGGGGTTTATAATTCATTTGTAGTTTTAATACTTCTACCTTTCTTTTTCACTTTGTTTTGTTTTTCCTATATTTGCAATAAAAGTGCACTATAATTTGAATGATTAACACAGTTTTCACCTCAATAATAAATTTCATAAGCAGTTGGTAGTGCATTTTGTTCTATGAGTATCCACATCTGGTGTTTTCTTCATACAAGAATGATGAAGTGCAAGTAGATATGTCATAGCAAGGCAATAAAACCAAATGAATTACATACCTATAGTGTACTTTTATGCTAGAAGCTTAAAAGCTTTTAGAAATTAGAAAGTTATTGGATTATATTACCTCTATATCATCAATCTCATGATAAGAAATAAGAAGCAAAAAATTTTTAGAAAAGCTTTGAAAAGTGAAAAACTTTTCTTTAAAAAAGCAGCAATAATGCATATGATAAATCTCCATTCTGTACTCTAATAGGTAAATAAGCTCAAATTTTTCTTAAAGAAATATAAGAAATATATAAGAAACATACAGTACAGTAACTTTAAAGGTTTCATCACTGAATCTTTAATGCTTCAGTATAGTGCATTAGATATTAGTAACATTCAAACAACACTCAGCTAAAATATTTTGACAAAGAAACGACATGATTGAAACATTAAGTTACATTAATCCCAATGGCTTCTAAAGTTTGAAGCTTCACATCTGCATCGAGTCGTCATCAATCTCAGTACAAATGTTTACATAGACACAAACTCTTTGGCCTTCCATTTTACATGTTTGTGAATTGACATTTCATTAAGCATCAAAACACACACAACCTTCTTGCCATCTTTCTTTGGATCATGAACTTTAACTTCAAAGCATTCAAGGCATCCTTAGTGAATCCATTGTCTCCGTCCATAGAATTTGACCACGATCAAATTAAATAACTCTGGATAGGGCAGACAATAAATCAATCATCTTTACAGCATTATCATTTTTTAAGGCTCTGCCTGGTGAATAACATCTTCCAGTCATCTTTACTCCTTGATCTTCCCTGCATGTTGTCAGCAAATAGATCATAACAAGCTCTGCTCCAAATCATGGGTACCGTTGGGGCAGATCATTTCTTTTTGATACTTACTCACAGAGCAAAATGTGTGCAGGGTCTTTTTTGCTTTAGGGAAACTATTTTGCAAATAGATGGGTAAATTTACGATTTCATGTATTAACAGATGATAGAAAAGTACGCAGAATTTTATAAACAAAAACAGGAAAACATCAGTATATTTGGCGTTCAAGTCAGTCTTAAAAAATACGATCTTTAATATGTATTTAATGGCTTTTCAAGTGCATGTATAATTGCTTTTCAATCGTTGACGGACTAACAAAACAAAAAACTACCTCACCTGTGAGAAGCGATATGTTCGTTTTTGTGGAAACTACGACATCCAACAATTGAACGATTGAAGTGTTAACATTATAAAAGAAATGCCAAAAAAGAATCGTCACAGAATATGGAACTAACGATATCCATATTCTGTGATATCGTGTTTGTTTTTGAAAAATTCTTTATTATTTACTATAGACACCAGGGGGAGGTCGAGAATATTATTTTTCTGCAAAGTGATCATTTCAGCGAAAATACGTCCTTTGGCCGCCATTTTTTTGTCGTCCTCGCCTCAGTAAAGTTAGCCGCTCCAGTTATAATAGAACTCAGTGTATAGAGCTGTTGGTGTTTATTTAAAGTAGTATTCGTATTAAATATACTAACCGCTGACCATATACCAAATATGGTGATATGAACAAAACGTGCTATATACGTTTTTCTAGTGAGGTTATTATTGTTGAGCTATTTTATGTAAAACTAGTATTTTCTTAAATAAAATAAATCGTTCTGAACTACTCGCGATCCATCGACATATTCAACAAGAACTCAATGCATTGGAGCCTCTTTTCGCTGTTAGAATACCATCGCTTTCGGTGATTATGCCTACCTGTATCACAACACGATTATCCACAGGCTTTTTTAAAAGTGGACATTGGCTAGTTGATTTCCTTTTCGATGACGAGCTCGAGCTCTTCGTGTTGAATGCTACTCTACATTCTCCTTTTATAGACATGTTATGGTCTAATGTCTTCGCCTGATTTCATAACGACAATTTTGCTTCTACTTTAGATCCGCATTTGAAACAAAACCTGTCCGTAAAACTTAGTTCATTTCTACAAGAAGAGCAAAATGCCGCTCCTTTTTCCGCCATTTTGTTATGGAAATGACATGTTTTAAAAATTTAGTGATCAATGCTTCATGTTCGACAACATTTAGGTGTCTATGCTCTGATCAAAAAATGTTTACGGATTTGAAATATCTTTTCGGATTTTCAAAATATTTTCCGATTTAGAAATATTTTTTAGATTTTCGATTTATAATTACAGACTGGAAATATATTTTTAGATTTAAAAAATATTTTGCGATTAAAAATATATTTCCATGGTGGCCCTTCTCGGCTTCCGTACAAAATACCTAGGTAACGGCAATAAAATTCAAACATGTTGACAGAAGCAATAAAAATCATAATTCCGTATCTTTGCTTTACATAACAATAAACTTTTAATGTTTAAAATTAAGTTGCACAAAATTATTTGCCACGTATCAACTCAAACGACGCTGACATTTGACGCTTAACTTTTCAGAACCTTTAATTTATCTGAAAGATTGAATGTTCAAAGTTTCAACCGTCGACCAGTAAAAGGTTTGTAAGACAAAACATAAAGAATTATCAATATGTGTTTACGATGTATAAATGTGACCTTAAATACAAAATGTTTGACATATTTAATTAATACATTTTTACTAAATATTAGTCACACCTTAGTACTATGAAATATACATTATAGATACCAGTAGCAATTTATAATCCTGTACTTGTATACCAATAAAACGAAGTTACACATACAAACAATTTACTTACAAAAAAAAACTACTGCCCTTGAAAGGAAGGCCTGTTTGTCGTGATATGTTTGTTTGCCTAGGAATTCAGATTGCTTGCTAGCATGCAATTATATTTATCTTTGTGTCCGGACAGTATATTTATAAAATATGTGTTATTTCATTATACTTGTGATAGTATGAAATTTATGGATCGGGAGGAAAATTTTGAAACTGCAAATGGACTCATGCATGCCATCGTTGAATATTTTAAATATATAGTCGTTTTTTTTTAATATTTAATCGTTTTGTAACGTTGCAATTATCTTTCGTCGAGCTGTTGACGCTAAGATGATACATGCAAATTCATAGCATTAAAAAAAACTGAAAATCTTTGATTTCTGATTTGTAAAAACAGAGCTTTTCGACCACATGGTGGTGTACAGCTGAAATTCTAATGTAATTCTGCCACGTTTGAAGCTCTTCTGGTTAAAATTAGACCGATTAACTAATTATAAACTAATCATTTAATTTAATTACAGCAATGAACATTTTGTATTCTGGGTGTGGAATCGTTTTGACTTGTGATTTTGATAAACTTAACTTTTGCCACCTTACTAATCAATTCAGATTACCGGAAACAGCTTGTAGTTAAATATATCCATTCCACTTAATCTCTTCTAATTTCTCTTTATTTGACTTCCTAACTTCCTTATCATATAATCCATTTGACACCGCCTCCTTTAGTAGTAATTTTACACCTTTTGTAAATATAATATCTTGTCTTAACATCCTATTTATTAATTGTCTGAAGATGTCTTGAGTAAAGACAAAACGTTACAATGAATTCAATTTTACAATTTCGGTCTATTTTTATGTTTCTAAGTAAAACTTTATGTTGGGCGTTAAATTTCATTACACGAATTCGATTTCCGCTCGGGAAGTCTCTCGCTACTATTTTGCAAGTATACAGCTACTGAATGAAGTAGATTTAATCAACATAGTTAAAGTAAATTAAAATTATTAATATTATTTACTTCAATTCTGTTCAAGATTTGTAAATAATACTTTCTATATAACCAGTTTCGCAGTGTTTCAAGTTTTAGCTAAACGTGTATTGTATGAAAAATATTCTTGATAAATACCATTTTCATCATTTGTTATGCCAAGGAAGTTTTCTGCCTGATTTAGATCTTCAAAGACAAACGTTTTTTTTAATCAACTGCATCAACCGACTCAGCGAGAAAATAAAACTGATTTTATACAATATGGTAGTGTCATTTACGTCAGTAATGAGATTGTTTCATTTCACTAAGTGAGTCCTTTTTGCTTAAAATATTGCTTTAAGCATGAGCAATGTGACGAACTTTTACATTACTCACGGTAAAACGGTCGGTCCAAAAATATTAGCTGACACCAATCGGCAATTTTTCCCTTTCCCTTTAAGTGAGGTGTTTTATTCCAATACCAAATAAAATACCAATGATTTAGAGAAAAATAACAACACCAAATATAATGACATAAATCTTGATTGTAGACAGTTTGAAATAAAGCTTTTTGTTGAGATCGGACTCTTGCTTGTAGATAGTTTGAGATTGAGTTTTTTGTTAAGTTTCAACTCTTAATGGTAGACAAGTTGAGATAGAGTTTTTTGTTGAGATTGAACTCTTGATTGTAGATTGCTTTAGATAGAGCTTTTTGTTGAGATTGAACTCTTGATGGTAGATAGTTTGAGAAAGAACTTTTTGTTGAGATTCAACTCTTGATTGTAGATAGTTTGAGATAGAGCTTTTTGTTGAGATTGAACTCTTGATTGTAGATAGTTTGAGATAGAGCTTTTTGTTGAGATTGAACTCTTGATTGTAGATAGTTTGAGATAGAGCTTTTTGTTGAGATTGAACTCTTGATTGTAGATAGTTTGAGATAGAGCTTTTTGTTGAGATTGAACTCTTGATTGTAGATAGTTTGTGATAGAGCTTTTTGTTGAGATTGAACTCTCGACGGTAGATAGTTTCAGATAGAACTTTTTGTTGAGATTGAACTCTTGATTGTAGATAGTTTGAGATAGAGCTTTTTGTTGAGATTGAACTCTTGATTGTAGATAGTTTGAGATAGAGCTTTTTGTTGAGATTGAACTCTTGATTGTAGATAGTTTGAGATAGAGCTTTTTGTTGAGATTGAACTCTTGATTGTAGATAGTTTGTGATAGAGCTTTTTGTTGAGATTGAACTCTCGACGGTAGATAGTTTCAGATAGAACTTTTTGTTGAGATTGAACTCTTGATTGTAGATAGTTTGAGATAGAGCTTTTTGTTGAGATTGAACTCTTGATTGTAGATAGTTTGAGATAGAGCTTTTTGTTGAGATTGAACTCTTGATTGTAGATAGTTTGAGATAGAGCTTTTTGTTGAGATTGAACTCTTGATTGTAGATAGTTTGTGATAGAGCTTTTTGTTGAGATTGAACTCTTGATTGTAGATAGTTTGAGATAGAGCTTTTTGTTGAGATTGAACTCTTGATTGTAGATAGTTTGAGATAGAGCTTTTTGTTGAGATTGAACTCTTGATTGTAGATAGTTTGAGATAGAGCTTTTTGTTGAGATTGAACTCTTGATTGTAGATAGTTTGAGATAGAGCTTTTTGTTGAGATTGAACTCTTGATTGTAGATAGTTTGTGATAGAGCTTTTTGTTGAGATTGAACTCTCGACGGTAGATAGTTTCAGATAGAACTTTTTGTTGAGATTGAACTCTTGATTGTAGATAGTTTGAGATAGAACTTTTTGTTGAGATTGAACTCTTGATTGTAGATAGTTTGAGATAGAGCTTTTTGTTGAGATTGAACTCTTGATTGTAGATAGTTTGAGATAGAGCTTTTTGCTGAGATTGAACTCTTGATTGTAGATAGTTTGTGATAGAGCTTTTTGTTGAGATTGAACTCTCGACGGTAGATAGTTTCAGATAGAACTTTTTGTTGAGATTGAACTCTTGATTGTAGATAGTTTGAGATAGAGCTTTTTGTTGAGATTGAACTCTTGATTGTGGATAGTTTGAGATAGAGCTTTTTGTTGAGATTGAACTCTTGATTGTAGATAGTTTGAGATAGAGCTTTTTGTTGAGATTGAACTCTTGATTGTAGATAGTTTGTGATAGAGCTTTTTGTTGAGATTGAACTCTTGATTGTAGATAGTTTGAGATAGAGCTTTTTGTTGAGATTGAACTCTTGATTGTAGATAGTTTGAGATAGAGCTTTTTGTTGAGATTGAACTCTTGATTGTAGATAGTTTGAGATAGAGCTTTTTGTTGAGATTGAACTCTTGATTGTAGATAGTTTGAGATAGAGCTTTTTGTTGAGATTGAACTCTTGATTGTAGATAGTTTGAGATAGAGCTTTTTGTTGAGATTGAACTCTTGATTGTAGATAGTTTGAGATAGAACTTTTTGTTGAGATTGAACTCTTGATTGTAGATAGTTTGAGATAGAGCTTTTTGTTGAGATTGAACTCTTGATTGTAGATAGTTTGTGATAGAGCTTTTTGTTGAGATTGAACTCTTGATTGTAGATAGTTTGTGATAGAGCTTTTTGTTGAGATTGAACTCTTGATTGTAGATAGTTTGTGATAGAGCTTTTTGTTGAGATTGAACTCTTGATTGTAGATAGTTTGAGATAGAGCTTTTTGTTGAGATTGAACTCTTGATTGTAGATAGTTTGAGATAGAGCTTTTTGTTGAGATTGAACTCTTGATTGTAGATAGTTTGTGATAGAGCTTTTTGTTGAGATTGAACTCTTGATTGTAGATAGTTTGTGATAGAGCTTTTTGTTGAGATTGAACTCTTGATTGTAGATAGTTTGAGATAGAGCTTTTTGTTGAGATTGAACTCTTGATTGTAGATAGTTTGTGATAGAGCTTTTTGTTGAGATTGAACTCTTGATTGTAGATAGTTTGAGATAGAGCTTTTTGTTGAGATTGAACCCTCGACGGTAGATAGTTTCAGATTGAACTTTTTGTTATCTTATGCTTCAAAAAATTCATTCGAATACCGAAATAAAAATAAAAACAAGTCCTGTCCAAGTTTCCCCACGATTGGCTAAAAATCAATCATCTTTAGAAAATGATTTGATGTAACTCAATTTCTCACGCACAATTCACCACGACATGATGTCCTTTGGCGTAAATTCATTTATAATTATAGGTTATCGCATAATTTTAATTATAACTATCCGACAGCCGATAAATTTGAATATAAACCCGTCAATGTATCCGAGAAATGCAAAGCCATACGGCCTCAGTTTGTCTTACCCGTCGGCTTTAGTTTATCTTTCCAAGTATATTTAGGGCGTGGATTCAAGTAGTTTCTTCTTCTTACTCTGTTTGCTCGTCGAGGTCTCGTTGCTTCAAGGTCGATTTCTTTGAGTATAGTTTGAATAGCCAAATAACTTACTAGCCCGTTATACTTAGATTGAAAAAGCCTCCAAATAGCTCTATATCCAAGCATAATATCGCATTCATTGAGTTCTCGTAAAATAGATTGTCCGATACGATCTTCATTTACAACATTCCTGCGTCAACGCAACACATACCGTTTCAACTTATTTAAAAGAGCACAACTTGAATTAGAAATGCTATGGAATTTATCGATTAAACTCAAAATAATTTACTTTTGGTTGCGTTCGTGTATTTCTGTTTGTGTTGTGCTTCTGCGCATGCATAAAATAACCTTTTATAAAGTTAAGTAATGCAAGCTGTTGTTTTTATGCAGTAAACGACCGTAGCATGTTGAAATTTAGCAAATATGGAAGGACATTTGAAAACGTGAGACTCTATCGT